AATCTAATACAAGATCTCTGTAAAACCTATAAGACTGAATTGCATTTTACTACACCGTACAATCCAAATTCAAACTCGCCGATCGAAAGATTTCATTCGACGATAAAAGAAAGCATAATAGCTTTACGAAGTGACCATCTTACCAAAAAAATTCAAGAATTAATTGATATAGAAATTTTAAATTATAACAACAGTATTCACAAAAGGAAACGTCAATTATCAATTGAACTTTGAAAAAGACGTGAATCAGCTACAAACTGATTACGTTTATGAGCTTGCTCAACCATTCAAGGAACTTAATGAGAAAATAAACTCAAAATTGAATGCTTAAAAGGCAAATGTGTTAAGTAACTTGAATGAAAAACGTGAAAATGACCCATAAAAACCCGAAGCTACACAACTTATAAGTACACCGCGAAAATTAGCTTTCGATACAACCAAATTATAAGAAAGCCATATTCAAAAATCAAAGACATCCTGAAGATATTAAAAGAATATCGTAATTTTCAGGAATAAAATATATGGAGATTATCTTCATATTCTTCACAGTACTTCCGCTTCTCATCAATTCTCAATACAAGATCGAAGAAAGAACAAATCATTTGCTATCAATCTACCAAAGAACAAGTTATATCATAACCAATTATCATCATGTTTATTACCATGTAAATTTAACTAATATGAAAGATTGCATAGAGTCAACAAAATTAACTCTTTTACAAGTTAATCAAACTTTAAGCAATTCAAGTATTAAGGTAAAGTACCCAGTTGTTGACAGGGCCCCAAAAGTTGACACATTAGCATATTATTCCCGAAAATAAGAATTTATATAGGTTATAAGCTAACTGAAATAGCTTATAGTATTGTTGGAGCCATCTTTCAGGCTATAGCTGATGTATGGATTTTGAAATGACAAGTTTTTTCAAAATTGTGGCAAGAAGTAGTGAACAGGTGCAAATGTTTGAATTTTTTCCCAGATTCCTAGTGAAAATAGTTAAGAAGATATAAAAACAAAAGTTCTCAAAGCTAAGGTAGGGTTGATAAATTATGAATAATATATATTTTTTCTACAACTGTCAAAAAATGATGAAGTTCGCACACTCATGACAGTTTGCGAAGTGACACTTTTTTTCCCAGGTATTGATTTTTTAACGTTCCCATGACGCCGTGCGCGAACTAGCTATTTCGCGCACGTGTGCGCGAAATAGCTAGTTCGCACACTGGGTGTCATGGTGACACATACCTGTCAGGAAACCAAAAATAATTAAAATTCACCTACTTTTATTTGAAAATGCAATTTTGCCTTCGAATGATCTATATTTAAATGCAGTTGTAGAAAAAATATTGTTTGCAACTCGGGCGCGAAATACTTTGGTGATCTCGACTATTTTTATAACTCGGCTGCGCCTCGTTAAAAAAATCAGATCTCGATCACCAAAGTGGCATTTCGCGCTCTAGATACAAAAATAACTATACTGTATAATAAGATACATTGTAATACATATTTATTATTGTTTTATCTCTTAAACAACTGGCATAAACTTTTTAAGGGGGGGTGTCAACTATTGAAGCCCAAATCGAGGGGTGATCCAAATGTTGACACTAGTGTCAACTTATGGATTTTTGGCGGTAAAAATATTTTAGCATTGTAGTCTGTCTCTTTTTATTGCTCTGGATTAAAAAGAAACCTAGATATGGGTTTGGGGAATGTAACGGTCGTAGATCCAAAAGATGACACCCCTGTTACCCCTGTCAAGGTTTGGAGCTTTGGAGTGTCAACAATTGGTCCTTTCAAGTTTAAATCAAGAGATGACGCATGAAAAATGGAAATTGCTGAAATATGCACCAGAACTACCAGAAGACGTGATTGCTGCATTGGATGATTGCGATAGGGGGCTCACTGCAGCTACAGCAGCAAAAAAACACATTGTACCAATGCTTTCCAAGCAATTTCTTTTATTAGCAATTTGGAATTGAAATTTGTATTTTTTTCAAACAAAAAGTTTCCCAATGTTATTTTTTATTATTAAAAAGTTTGATTCTTACATTATTGATGTTTCTACCAGGGTTTCTACTGATACAGGCTACATGTCAACTATTGGTTTCAAGAGTGTCAAGTAATGGAACCACAACATGTACTTAAAAAAAATTAAAATAACTGGTTATTATGTGTATATATTTCATTTAAAAAATTGTACACTTAGAAAAATATACCTCTTAGTTCCACAGACCGTGATAAAATTTCCTAAAAGTAAAAATTTGGTTTTGTAAAAAAATATATGTCAACCTTTGGATCAAAAATGTGACAACTTCTGGCGCAGTGAACTTTTTTGGGTGTCAACTATTGGGGTTTTATCACCTTTCAGGTATTTTTGGCATAATAACACAAATAATAGGAATATAGAGTAAATAATATATCTACACATTCAATTATGAGTTTGAAATCACGCTAAAAAATATATCATAGCCTTGGGATTGAAAATTTGGAAAATGTGTGGTGATCATAAGCAAGGATACCCTTAACATGTCAACAACTGGATACTTTACCTTACCTATATCAATACACGAACTCTTAATTGTGAGAACAAATAATTTAATTGATCAAGTAAAATCAATTGAATTATTTATCGATCATTATACAACTCCACAAAAAAGAACCAGAAGAAGAGACTCTTTAACTTTTTAGGAAAGACTCAAAAATACCTATACGGTACGTTAGATGCTGATATCAACGTTATGATAATTACATCAGAATCCTCCAAGAAAATCAAAACACATTACAACAAGACATATCTTCAACCCAGACAATTGTTAAAAATTGACCCAACCCAAGATATCGATACACAATTAAATAAAATCAAAAGTAACCAAGAAACTTTTTAAACCCCTGTTAATGACCTCATGACAATAACGCAGTCTAAGACAACAACGACGTACTTTATTGACTTACTTGATGACTTAGAAAATAATCTACGTATCATTCACGAGACACGCACTAATGTACAAACGGCAATTAATTTCGCAGAAATAAACATAATGCATCACAGTATATTTAAGTATCAAGATCAAGAGCTACGAGCCATAATCTCGAAATTTGACCCCAGCTCTCGAATCCCTTTTGATACTATGAAGTTGCACACGCAGACGTCCCCATCAAGAATGATCTAATCATATATTCTACGTTGCAATAGGCTCGTTCAATAAAAAAATTTTAACGCGGTTTTTCACATTTTTATGGAGTATTACTCACATATAGCACATAAAAAAAATTTCAGCTCAATTGGATAAATATTAGAAAAGTTACGCGTTTTTTAATATTGAAACAGTTATGCCTCGAAAATTCATTGCTGTGACGTCATAGCATCTCTCGAGTCGAGACAGGCTAAAGGCCATCATACACGGTTTTGCATTACGCAATGTCAACTGATTTTCTATTGACAGTTTGGCACACAGTTTGCGAAACTATACAATATTTTAAATTTTTCTTTTTGCATGCTACTTCCATAATTGTGCTTATAAAATATTGAAACTCAGGGAATTATTCAAATATACGAAATGTGATTTGGAAGAAAAACATCAAACCTCTACCAGATACAAAAAATGCCAAACTAAAACTTGTCTAAACAATGCCAAACCAAAATTTGTCAAAACAATGCCTGTATTGTCGAAGTGACTGGCGTACCAGTACCGCGACGACCGACGTGAGAGATGCAGTGACGTCACCGCGTGTTTCAAATTTGGAGTACTTTGATAATTTGTTTAAATATGAACAAGGGCTCAGAAAATTATGAAATTTTGCATAACTGCTAAACTCAACACGCTCTTTTAGAATATGTAATAAAAAAAATATGCTGTACGAGCCTATGTATTCCACTACACAACCAGATAGCGATATTAAGAAACCCTTATTGATGAGATCTAATGACAACTTTTATGATATAAAAGGAAACTCTTAAAATTGCATTATGCCACATCAAATTACTCAATCAAAATGAGCCCTGCGTTTATCAAACAATGAATTTAACCAATCATTGCCCAATGACTCCTATCAAATATAAGGAAACATCTGTCACACAATTAGATGACAATTCCCTTATAATTATCCTAACATCAAAAGGAAGCATTTACTTCCAATATCCCAGCCAACATGGCGTTGAACATTTCATTGATTTTACCCTCGATTTTACCCTTAATTTGTAAAGTCAAAATTGAAGGAAAAAATTATTATGATTCCCAAAAACTAGGCATAATTAATTTGAGACTGAAAATAAAATTCCATCAATCAATATTGACGAACAGTTAATCAAAAATATCGAACTTGAGTTAACAGAAATAAATCTTGAATCTATAAGAGAAGATTTAGAAAATGCCAAAAAGCTAACTATCCACCCTCTTAAAGAATTCCATATGTGCGTTTAAACATGACTACAAAACTAGTGTGATTAGAACGACTCGGTCTACGACCTCGTCGTTCTAATCTTTCACACTCGTTATTGTAATCATGTTCATAAACGCACTTGTAATGTAAATAACTATTATTATATTAGTCATTGTAATCATAGTTATAATAATCTTTGTATGTCGTCATTATAATTATTGTAAGAAAAATCAAACTAACTGATGTAAAAGTGGGTCTTTAAGTCTTTTGTCATAGAAACAACTATGTAATTTCGTGTTTAATTAATAAAATAAAACTTTTTAAAAACAGAAGTTGCATAAAAGTAATAGTTATTTATGATATAAGTGCTAAAAGTGACATTTTATTTTGTGAAAAGGGGAGTTTGGGACACGACGCCGAAGGCAGAGTGTTCCATACCTTTGAACAAAATAAAATCACTTTTAGCACAAATATCATACACTATTTTTTCTACAAACGCACTAAAAGTAATTACTTTTAGCACTAGTGCTAAAAGTAATCACTTTTAACACCAGTGTCATAAAATGGCATTTTAGACACTGACAGCATCCGTTAAAAATGACACTTTTAGTGACGTTTGTAGAAAATAGTTATTTATGATATAAGTGCTAAAAGTGACATTTTATTTTGTGAAAAGGGAAGTTTGGGACACGACGCCGAAGGCGGAGTGTTCCATCCCTTTGAACAAAATAAAATCACTTTTAGCACGAATATCATACACTATTTTTTCTACAAACACTGTTTAAAAGTCCAAATTAACGCATCCTTGAAATCCTCAATTTCAAATCTTTCATCTAATTTATTTATGAAATAGGTTGCTGGCAAGAAAAAAAAAACGAATTTGTTTATTTTTATTTGTCATCTCTGTTTGTCATTGTTGATTAATAACGTCAAATAATCACGAATTTTTGCTTACGGTTTCTGCACAATTTTTGGTTTTTGCGTGGTTTCATCCAGTTTCATTGTAGTTTATTTTCTGGGCGATGGAAAGTGATCAAGACAATGAATTTCTCCCGGCGGAAATTGAAGAAGCTGCCAATAAAGCTACTTTCGAATTATTGCCTAGCAAGTCAAAGCAACAGTACGAGTTTTCATACAAAAGAACATTGCGGATCAAATTCTGCCCAAAAGTTCGGAGAATAACATTGCTCTTTACTCTCCTGGTACAAGTTTTACCAAAATAAATTCAGTATTTGCTACCAATGAGATTGGCCATGGAGTTTCTTATTCTAATTGCAGTTTCGCTAATTTTAATTTAATTAAATAAATATTTTACTTTGATATAAAATTTCCTATGTTTTTATATTTTCTGATCAGTGCTAGAAGTGATTACTTTTAGCACTAGTGCTAAAAGTAATCACTTTTAACACCAGTGTCATAAAATGGCATTTTAGACACTGACAGCATCCGTTAAAAATGACACTTTTAGTGACGTTTGTAGAAAAATATAATTGTTGTTCCAAGTAAAAACAAAAACAAATACAAAGTACATAAATAAGTTCTTTTATTGAAATGCATTTAAATCGAATAACATTAGCTTAAAATAGTGAAAACACCACACCTTGTTTTTTAGTCGAAATACGCATACTTAAATTTTAAAAAATAAACTGGAAAATATCACATTTTTTTTTTATAACCCATGGCTACAATAGGTATCAAGTTTTTACAAGAGATGTAATGGGGTTACGAAAAGAATAATTGAAGTTATATCCAAAAAACAATTCTTGCATAAAATACAAAGAATGTCAAATAATGAAAAATTTGACGATTTACTTGGCTATGTTCCATCAAGCGTGAAAAATGAACTTGGACAACAAAACGTCTATTAGCTACTGTACTAATACTAAAATATTGTTGACTCAACTTTTCTCAGCAGCAGGATGGGTTTGTTTGTCAAAACACTTGACTATTCAAATTAATTCAATTCGTAAGTCCACATTATACTAATTTATTGGATTTTGGCAGTAGATAACAAGTTAAATCCAACTCTAAGCTAAAAACATAGGGATAATGAAACCAACTATTCAAAATCTTTAATACAATAATGAGCCCATTTACACCTAAAAATCTTTCAATTTTGGAGGGAAATTTCAAAATGCTTGTCAGTGTGAATTTTTCTTGGACACGTCATGTAAGAAACTTATCCCATTAGTATCAGTCAATTATAATGTTCCTATATAAAATTATTATACAAAAAAAAACACTGGTTAGCTTAGTTTTGAAATAATTCAAAGTTTGGCTTAAAGGGGGTGTGCGCCAAAAATTAAAGCTTTAGTGTAAAAAAATCTAAGAATAACTGTTCAAACCTCGTTATTCTACGATAAACCATCGCTGAGATATACCGCTTTGAAGTGTGAACGACGCTCTCGTGACGTCACGAAAACTTCGTCCAGCCGCGCTCCGCATTGTTAATTTGATTGTGCCCGGCACGCGTGAGTGGTTTTTGTTTAGATTATTGCAGATAATACAGGAGAAACATATGTAAATTTAATTAACTCCACTTTCTCGTGCGTCGCTTGAGCTTTCGTGACGTCATATGGTGAGATGCGGTACCTTCATAGAGCCATATCTGCGGTATTATTTGTCATAGAGGGGTGCGGATTTCACTGTTATTCTTAGATTTTTTTTCCCTTTTTTTTAGGATGAAGTTGTTTTTTTGGCGCACACCCCCTTTAACAGTTTCGACAATGATTAGGAATTTTTATATCAAAATGTACGTTTGGCTATTAATATTTACAAGTTTATGAACACATTTTTATATGTACCTCGAAAGTGAATAAAGATAATATATTTTGAGAAAGGAATTAACAAAAATACAAGCAGATAAAGTTTGCTATTATTTACAAGTGTAACTATCATCCGAGTAAACAATAGCGATTATTTAGGAGTCAAATACTGCATTTTTGACTACAAAATATGTGCTATAGTAATATTGAAAACAAATAAACTTTTACCAGAAACTGCAAATCTCAATAAAGTGGCATTAATTTAATGGTTGATTACAGAGCCTGGTTTTGAGTGACAAGATGTGAGAATTTTACCGATATTATAAAGTCAAAAGATAAACAATTTTTATATTAGATATTACTAAAAAAAGAGGGGAGCACCAATGGATTCAAAAAGAAAATCACTTTGTTAGTCCTTCACAACTGCATTTTTTCCTGGTGGGCGCCAGGCATTTCATCACGTTACACATCAGACCACAGAAGAAATCTTTGTAAGATTTTGGAGGTTGCAGCATAAGCCATTGTTCCTGAAAAAGACAATGATGACAATTGATAATAATAGGATTTAGTAATAACAAAAAGTATAATAAATACAGTGTTTCAAAAGTAGCTTGATATTTCTTCTAAATATCCAACCAAAAAAGGAAATAACAGCCATTGTCTCGGCTTGACTGGGAGGAACAATTTCAAGGAAAATGTTCCAAATTTGTTAATAATTAAGTATTGTTTTGTATTAAGTTTTTAAAAATGGTGTACCTATGTAACAGTTAATAAATTGATAAATAATTAAATAAAATTAAGACAATCGGAATGAAAGACTCTATTTATTAAATATTTCATAATAATTACCAATTTTCAACTTACCTGAAATCACCTAACATCCGCTTCTGTACCACTTAAGCTTTCTTCGGGCTTCATAATTTGATAAGTCACAAAATATTCTGGATATGATTGTTCTCCTCTATAGACCACATATTCTACAAAAAAAGAAATAAAATTTATAAAAATTTAGATAAATAAATAATTAATATTCAAGTACCTGGAAAATTTAATCCTCCAGTTGAAGGCCTACCAATAACCGAATGATGTCCTGGAGGTGCATGAGCCATTTTCATAGCACTAAATTGCAGAAAAGATTTGCCCAAAGTCACACGGCATAGTAACAGATGTCTGAAAGTCACAATTATTAAATATGTTAAGCGCACAATCATTAGTAGATTTACCTATGACAAGCATAACAACTTCTATCCTTATGAGTTGGACATCCAGTACCACCTCCAATTCCATACACATACTGATTACTTTTAGATGAATGTTCGGCAAAGTAGATTCCAGCACCAAACATACCTATAGAGAAATATTACAATAAAATAAATATTTACGTGTGCAAAATTTTACCTCCAATATAAGCATGTCTTTCATCGAAACCTTTTTGAACAATAGCATTAATGAACGGAGATCCATGAAATAGCATCCTTTCATTCGGCTGATTATTATTTTCTTCTGCCACTTCTTGTCTTCTATGAGTGTACCTTTCCCATAGCCTCCTATTTTGTACTTTTTGAATCTAAAATGTTTTGTTAGAAAATTACAATGAAACAAAGACAAACCTTGATTGAGATTCTTACCCTAACTATATTATATCTTGTAAACACACCACCAGCATGTCCATTGTCCCTATGTTCTCTAATACTGTTTTGCATTTCCTCTTCGACTGTAATGAACTCTTTGTCATCTGCCACAAGATCAACCAGGAGGGTTCCAGGGTTTGTGGGTGTTGACCATAAACCACCACAGTTAGCGACCAATCTTTCCATACCTAAAGAATACAATGATGAGAAGATTTACATTTGGGTAGACAATTTTGAATAATGGTGTATTGAATTCTCGTAAAATGTGTAGCTAAAGTGAACCTTCATTGTATCTATAAATAACATTATGGAAAAAATAATTGTCTCCAACTTTACAGCGCTGATAATTCTAGAAACATGAGTTATAGTGGTCCTAAAAAGTTGAAAAATCGGATTTCCTTTTGATGAACAATCCTACCTTTGATAAGTTTATGTCTAAACCCATAAGCCGATATCCCAATCTGTTTCAAATCCTCATGGTTCATCTCGGCTAAAATATCCAAAGTGATTTGCTCCCTCTCGAAAATATCCAACAAATGTTCCAAATTTAATGAATGCAAAAATTTGCCCACTGAATAAATGTCATTCAAGTCCTCTGGAGAATTTTCCATAGCAGCTGCACCTTCAGCTACACCCATAGAAACACTAGATCGACTGCCACCCATAGGGCCTACAGGGATCATCAGCTGAACAGCTGCTCCAGAGGGCATTACCACAGTTTCTGTAGTAACTGGATTCATAGTTGCACCAGATATTGATGGACTTGGTGTGTGTGGTGGTAGAGCGATTGATGGTGGTCTGGAAGTCGGTGCTGTCGCAGTAGGAACCGCTAAATAAAAAGGAGAGTCAAATTAGATAATTCCATTTAAACATACATTGATTATTACCCTGTTGAGAGGCCATTGCGTCTTGTAATAAACACCTTACATCATCTGCAGATGCTAAATCTACTGGGGCTTGTCCTTCTTGGTTTTTCAGGAAGGGATCAGCTCCATGAGCTAGCTGTAAAATATATAATGGAAACAATATTCAAAATTGTAAAATTATTCAATTCAAAAAAAAAATTGTGTAAGTAAATTCAATTTCGCGGATCCATACCTAATTGGATTTGAAACAACACAGATTAAGTTGTTTCAGCAGAAACCTCACTGAATTTTTAACAGCTTCCACCAAACCAGTGAAATGTGAATTTAAAATTGGAAATCTGTATAAGTAATTATAGAAGAAAAAAAAAAACAAGTCCTTACCAAAAGTGCACACAACTGAGTCCTTCCTTTCTGTGCAGCCTCGTGTAACGGAGTAAATCCCCATTTATCAGTGGCATTAACGACAGTATTAAATTTAATTAACAAAGCGGCAATATCCAGATGCCCATAGCTTGATGCATTATGTAACGGTATCAAGCCACCCTTATCTTGCGCGTTAACGTCAGCTCCATTTTCTAATAGAAATTCAGCTACTTCAACATTGTTGTAACCGGCAGCTAAATGCAAAGGCGTCGAGTTACGACCCTGGGCGTCTCGACAATTTATATTTTCAGAAGTTACCAGTCTTTGGACTCTCTGTAAATTGCCTTTTTTGGCGGCGTCTAATAGAGCGGCGTTGCCTCGCAAAAGATCAGCAACGTCTTGGTCGCCCTCCCTTACTAAATCTAAAGGAGTAGCTCCATCTCTGTTCTTTTTACTAGGATCAGCACCATGCTTAAAACAACAATAATTATAAGAATATATATGAAAAAAAAAAATTAAATAATTATGTACCTTTAATAGAAGTTTAACAATTTCATATTTTCCTTTTGCAGCAGCTTCATGTAGTGGTGTGAATTTCCACAAATCAGCCACATTAACACTTGCCCCATGTTTCACTAATAATTCAGTGACTTCGTAATGGCCATAAGAACAAGCATTATGAAGAGGAACTAGACCACTATAAATTTTATCAAATTAAAATATTTTTTCTGATACAAATTAATGAATTACCCTTTGTCTTTAGCGTGCACGTCAGCACCTTGCTGTAACAAAAACTCTACTACTTGGACTCTGTTGTAACCTGAAGCAAAGTGAAGTGGTGTGGAATGCCTTCCATCCAAGTCTCTTCAAATATAAGAATAATTAAGCATAAATAAATATATTATAATTGTTTACTGCTCACCGACAGTTGACTATATGTGGATAAGATCCTAGGTATCTTTGTACCTGGTCAAGATCTCCAGCTTTTGCAGCCTCAAGTAGTTGGCTTTCTACATCAGCTGGAACAGCAGGAGGATCTGCAAATGGAAATAAATTGCATTGATTGCTACTAAGTAACTGTATAAATTACCTTGCAAAATTTTAAGAACATTCTCAGATGCTACTTGACTAGCTGTATAGCCCTGTAGAGAAACTATAGAAGTATCCACATTATAGGAAAGGAGAATTCTACATGCTTGAACATTGTCCTCTCTAGCGCATCTATGCAGGGCTGTTTGGCCGAGACCATCAAGAGCATTTACCTAGAGATAACAAAAAAAGTTATTTTAACTTTATAGAAATTCTTGATTTACCTTAGCTCCATTTCTCAGCAATACATCCATGAGATCATAATGTGAGTTGTCAGCGGCAATGTGTAAAGGTGTTAAAAATTCTTTGTTTTTCTCATTTATTGGACCACCTTTTCTGATCAACGAGTCTAAAACCTGTTTTCTTTTCGGATACAATGAGCTACAAACAGCATGCACAGCTGTATCACCAGAATATGGATGTTTGAATCCAATTATATCGGCAGCGAGGTATTTTTTTAATTTGGCATTATCAGCTTGTCTTGCCGCTTCTAACAAAAGATGACCTTTATACTCATCTAAAAAAAAGAACAATAGTTCAAACAGACATATCATCAACCACTGAAAATTATTACATGCTAGTCTTTCCTGCAGTTCTCTAGTAGGTGCAACATCAATGGAAGATTTAGAATGGCAGTTAAGTTGAAATGGATCGGCTCCTACAAGATTTTTTAAAATAACTTAAAAAAATTTAAAATCCAAGTAAAAATTTTACCTTCACTCAATAGTAAAGAACAAACTTCAACTCTAGATTTAGATGCAGCTTCATGTAAAGGAGTGAAGGCCCATAAATCATTGGCATTAACATTGGCACCGTGTTTAATTAACATTTCAGTCACCTCAAAGTGACCATACGAACAGGCATTGTGAAGTGGAACCAAACCACTAAAAGGCATTGACCTTAAGTACAAGGTTTTTTTATACGGAAGAGCTCAAAATTGATGTGCATACATTTGAGAATTGTCAATCAAATCCCAAAAGTACACACAACAATTTATTTTATTACCCTTTATCTTTTGCATGGACATCTGCTCCATGTTGGAGCAAAAGTTGGACAACTCTGCCTCTATTATAGCCTGCTGCTAAATGGAGGGGAGTTGACCGGCGACCATCACTGGCATGGCAGTTGACATTTAGAGGGTTCAATAATGCTAAAAGTCTATCTTCGGCTCCAGAACGGGCTGCTTCAAGTAGCTCATCCTATATGTTTAAATGTTTTCTTTGAAATATATTACGTCAAATAGAGAATGCTTACCTTTCGATATTCTCCAGTCAGAACTGGTCTTGTGGCAGGATCAGCAACTTCTAACGGAGTTTTACCTTCAGTATTTCTTATATTTACATCCGCTCCATGTTGTAAAAGGGCTGTGATTATATATCAAAGTTTGAAAAATAATGTCATTTAACTGAAAGTTCTTACCAATGCAGACATCAATTTTGCCTTTGATAGCCGCTTCGTGTAATGGCGTATAATTCCAATTGTCTCTAGTGTTTGGGCTTGCTCCAGCTTCTAAAAGGAGTCTCACTACATCGGCATGGCCAAATGAGCAAGCATTATGGAGCGGATGTAGGCCTCCGTCGTCTCGAGCTTGGATAGACGCTCCTGCTGATAGGAGAAATTCTACTACGTCTCTTCTACCATAACCTTTAACAAAATTAAGAAAGCTAATAAAGTAATTGAAGAATCAAAATAATGAAAATCAAATCTAATTTAGAACCAATGAAAAAAGTCCTAACATTTTTGTGACAATGGACATAGAAATGTCTTAAGTGTACTAAGTACCTGTTAAAGTTTCTCAGTGTTACAAGTGCCAAGAGAGATTTCCACTACTGGCGCTTACTGATTTTGTTTTGTTAATATTCAATTCAGAAAAGAGCAATACAATCTTATTATCAGACCATACTAACTCAATAATAAATTCTTATACTAAAATACACTGGGTACGAAGAACATTCAAATTTCAATAAAATTAATAAACAATCTTCAAAATTTAAAAAGCAAGATCCTTTCAAAGACTAACATTTCATAGTTACTCGTGTATATAGCAAAGTGTATTTTTAGAATATTTTTTTTAAAATAAATTCGATGTGAGTAAACTTACATACACAAGTACCTAAATATAAAATAAACATAATGGTATAATAACAAATAAACACTAGTTAAAAGAATCATTGTGGTCAAGCCTTAAAAACAAACCGCTTCCTACTTTGAACATCTTATACAAACGCAGGTGGTTAGGAAGCTTTTCATTTTTATACATTTTTTGTTAGGGCTGAAACGGGAATGGGAAGTAAAGCTACCCAAACCTCAGCAGTTGCAATCGCATCTTTACACTTACTGTATATCAGCATTGTATAATATAATTTATACAATGGTATTAGGCAAACAGTTTTAGCAATAAATATACATGCCAAAGTTAGAATTTTTTGTGAAACAAACAAAGGTTTATATGATTGCTTAAGACTTACTTTGCACATTGACCTTATTGCGCGCTTTTGAACAACTAAAGCAATATTGAAAAGTTGATCTGAACAGAAAAATGATCCATATTTTTAGCAAACTTTATTCCAATGAGTACCACATCAGAACCAGAACCTCAAGTCTATTCGGCAGCATACCCGAGGGGTAAACCGCCAGCCAAATTTGTACACTGAATACATGGAGTACAAAGGAATGCTTAAGAATACAATGAATACATAAAAATACATAGAATATATATGATTACAAGGGAGTATATTATAACTATTTTCTCTCATAATCTGATGCTCGATGTTATATTTTTTTGGGAATGCGTCAGCTTTTTTTAGTTGAAATGGTCCCGAGAATGGTCCCTTACCTAATAACTCAAAAGGACCAATATGTATAATATAATATGTATGCTTTATCTACTTCACCAATGTCGTCTACCTCAAGCCAAGTAAAAGTATCTAGCTCAGATTTTGAAACTTTGAGTCGGTATTTGTTATTCTCTAGTCCAATACATCTACCAATATACCATTGATGTTTATACGCAATACAGGATCACTGTGAGATAGGTGCTATTGAAATAATCAAATTAAAAATTATTATTGTAACGGTTTAGCGTCCCCCGCTAGGAGATTTTAGTATTTTGTTAGATGTAATGGAAAACGTTTTGAACAATTGGTCTTAGTCTCAAGAAACCTGTGGTTCTAAATGAAGATTTCAATATTTAATTTAATAAGGATTATAACCTTTGAAACAAATTCTTAGATCTCACAAGTTCATATAATTTTAATGAAAAAATGTTCGCAAATACGCGAAAAAATAACCGTTAACATAATTTATTTATCACTTTTAGTAATGTCTGCGACTGTTCCGTAAATGTTTTTAATCCAAACCTGTCATATCACGATTATTCATCACAAATTCTGACCTGGAAGAAAGCCATTTCTTCTGTAGACCCCTTACGAATAAAGGCATTCAAGAGGTGTGCGTTTTGATACAAAATGAAAATTACTCTTTTCTGGAATCGGGTAATGCTGGGACCTCGGCTGGGACAGTACACTCTTTTTAAAAAAAAATTGTATCCCACAGAGACGCTGCATTCCCAGTGCGTAGGGTTGTGCCGTTTGAAATTTTCAAATGAAATTTCCATGTTTGAAATATTCAAATGTGAAATTTCTAATATTCGACAAAAGTGAAATTTCACATAAATTGCAGGTGAAATTTTCAATTTGAAATTTCCCAAACTTTGTAGAAAATTCATATGTTTCACTGGAAATTTCATAAATTTCATCGAAATTTTCAAAAAGTGAACATGTTTCGCCGGGAAATACAAGGAGTTATTGGCAATAATGGCAACGCTGCTCACTGGTTGTCTTGCTTTGGATTTTTGGAATCAATTCTTTAGCTAATTTCTTAGCTTAGGTTGGAATTCATTTGCCACGATTCGATTTTACAGGACAGGACACGACAAAACAAGTTTCCGAGGCAGATGAATTTCATGTTGAAAGCCTGAACTTATGATAAATACAGTTAAACCAAAAATACTTGGAGCTACTCCACTCTACTGACTAGCAAATAAATAACAGAAAGGTAGAATGTGTTTTTTCTACGAGCGTGCGGGAGTGGTCTCTTTCCGCACTATTTGCTATACAGACAGACTTTCTTGTTTTGTGTGTTGTTTTCTTCCCAATACATTTATAAATTTACTTTCTGCACAGTCGCATTTTATTCAAATTACATACCGAAGTGTGTGGTAGAAAAACACGACGGTTTTCTACCACACCTCGGTTTTGGAACGGTGTTTCATCGTGGCGATGAAAACCGTCGTGTTTCATCGTAGTGTATCGGGCTCTTTAGTGATGTTACGAAAAATGTAATTTGAATAAAATGCGACTGTGCAGAAAGTAAATTTATAAATGTATTGGGAAGAAAACAACAATGTATGGGGCCCTCAATACGCTTGTAGAAAATATATAGTTCCTGAAGCTTACGGGAAGAAATTTCCGGCACTCGGGCGCTTCGCACACTCGTGCCGGAAATGTCTCCTCCCGCGGTCGTTAGGAAATAGCTATTATTTATTTACATTCCACACTTAAGCCAGAATAAAATGTCAGGAGAATGTCTAACCATTGTACCTACTTTACCACCTCCTCATAAACACCACACTTATGGGACGTTAATTTCCAGGGTTGCGGTGTTTATGAAGTTATAGTGATGATGATAAACCTGATTCTATGACACCATACTAAACTAATACCACAGCTAATACACAAATAAACTAGTGTAGTCATGTCACATCACAATTGAATTTTATAGAAAATTTCATGGAATTTTATGAAATTTCATTGAAAATTTCATAGTGAATCATTTGATTTTGAAAATTTCATGATAATTTGGAAATTTTCAGAAAAATTCAGAAATTTCAAAAATTTCAATATTTCCCTGAAAATTTCAGAGTGAAATTTCCAGATGAAGTGAAAAGTGAAATTTACCCAACCCTACCAGTGCGTAAACGAACAGAAAGGGCTAAACGGTTGGACCTGAGTTTGTTTAATAGGGAACTCTAAGCCCTACGGCATGAGCTAAACACCCTAAACCAGATGTGCAGAGAGATTAACTGCCCACTGCTGCAAACATAGAAAACCCTACTCAGAAAAAGGTATTACAGGGCCGAAATAAACAGGTCAAAAAAAAAATAGAAAAAACTCACACTACATTCAAAACTCAGATAATATTGCTAAGGCATCCTGGACTTTGACAAGAAAATATGCTGTGAATAGGAACCCAAATTCGGACCCAAATGAATGCAACAAATACTTCTCAAGCCAACAAACCACCTCTTTTATAATTGCAATATAAAACATAGTGACATACCTACACTTCGGCTTCTTCAAGTTCTGTCTATCAAGCTCTAGATAACCTAAAGAAGAAACATAGCAAGGACTTCTATAATTTGAATGTAGTACTAAGACTTGGTGAATGGATCAGTCATCCTCTTTCAATAATATCCACAGTGGCGTAGCGAGGGGAGGGCCGAGGGGGCCATTGCCCCGGGCGGCATACGAGAAGGGGCGGCAAATTTTAAACAAAAAACTCTTACTCTAAATTGCCATCGTCTAAATAGGGAACTTGCAAGTGGAATAAAATTTTCCAAATCTGTTTTAAATCGATAGTTAATACTGTACAATATTTATATGACAAGGTTTCATTTTACTGATACGGCCCACGGCCCTTGTTACACAAAAGATAATACTGAACTTAAAATAAAAAGTTTCCCGCCAAAATGATACTTCTATAGCCGTGCTCGTTTTTCTTATCTTTTTTGTCGATTTGCTCCGAAATTTTGACAGGCACGTGATTTGTAAATTGAAACTGTCTGATCCGGTCAATCCGGTCACATGCTTGTCAACATTTCGGAGCAAATCGACGAAAAAGATGACAACAACGAACACGGCCAATGATGGCTACCTTTCTTGACGTCATACGATTCAGTAAGCAAACCTGTCAATAAGGAACTTCCAAGTGGAATAAAATTTTCAAAAGCAATCCTTGCGACAATTTTCACAAAAAGCAAACTTTAACACACTTAAATAACACAAAAAAGCACTGCGTCAGCAGGAGTTCGTTTGCTGCGTTTGTTGTTTACGAAATGTTGACGTCACGAGCGCTTTCATATTGAAAAATCGCAGTTTCGCGCCAGAGTTTATGATTTGAATTTTAATTAAAAAAAAATTCGTACAACGTAGGAATGAAATTAAAATGGAGAAAAAGAAAACTATGTAATATCTGATCACTAGAAGTAGGTATCTAACAAAAAATAAATTGAGAAATATGAAAATTCCCTATTGGAGTTGCTTTATTTGACTTTTACTACTTTTCTCGACTAACTATCTATATAAAATAGAGGGGGCGGCGAATTTCCGGTCGGCCCCAGGCGCCGAAAGCTCACGCTACGCCACTGAATATCCAACAGATGGATTCAACAGGATGTATATCCAAAAGAGCTCAAAATTAGCAAAACTGTGCCAATCCATGAGAAAGGTGATAAACTATTATCACCAGAAAATTACAGACCCATCTCTCTAATACCAGTCTTTTCCAAGGTCTCCGAGTCTTTCCTTCAAAAACAGCTCTATACATACCTTGAGAACAATAACCTGTTGAAAGATGAACAATTT